GGCACAGAGCAAATATGGGAAAATGTTATAAACAAGATGTAGAGCTGTTTACATTTGCCTCAGAGGAGAGTTCTATGTGATTTTCTCTGCCAGGGTTTGCTTTCAATTTTACCAGTATGAAATATCACCAGACTGTCTGAGCAGACACATATTTCCAGTGTTTAAGACAGAGATTTTGAACCTGGGGTAAGCATCGAAATCACCAGAGAAGGTTTTTTCAAAATTTCTGGGCCACCCCACCTAAAACTCAGTGAATAAGAATATCTTCAGGTGAAGGCAGCCTGGATTTTTTTTTAAATCTCTGCAAATGATTCTAAAATACTATCAGAGCTGAGAATAACTGGCTGTCATTCCTGAAATCTTCTAGTATAATCTCCCTCTGGCTTGTTTTAATAAAATCATTATTAGAAATGTTCAGTGTATAGAACCTATCCACTACTGGTCAGTCTCACTTCACTGATTTATAATGCAGTCAATTCTCTGTGTTAATCAACCACAACAAAAGTTTAATTTTCGACTGGCCTACATTGACTAGTGTAGACTCAGGAAAAGCAAACTCATTATAGCATCTACTTTACAAAAATAACGAAGATAATACATCTCTTTGTCTCACACACACACTCTCTCTCTTTCAAGTATTTCCCAAAGCTAAGGAGATTATTTCTGTGTGCTTTAGAAAAATAAATCTCCCCCACCATTGCTTCCCTCCACTCACATGTAACAACCACAGTTGACAAAATACTTAAAGAACAAACTTTTTGCTAGTATTCTGTTTGAGAAATAGTTGGGTATGTTCAGTTTGAGAAAATTCATCAAGCTGCACACTTGTGATATATTCATTTTGCTGTATGTGTAAAAAGTTTTTTGAAAAATCCACTAACCTTTTGACATTGGGGGTAGGGATATTAGGCAAGGAAGCCCAAGACGGTTTTCTTATCTTTTTGGAAATACACAAATCAAAATATTAATATCTTAAGTGTACAAACTGACCAAAGGAGAGAGGTATCACACCCATGGGATACAAAAAGCAAACACTTACTCCCTATCAATGGGCAGAGTGTTAAATTCCTGTGTCCTAATCCCAACAAGGCCTCTGTCCAATAAGAACAGTAATGAATGAGGGGGGATTTAATCCTCTTATTCCTTGAACAGATAATTCCTGGGAGCATAACAGTGAGCAAGCAAGTCAGATCTGGTCCCTCTTCTCACCCAGCTTCTGGTCTAGCTGTGGACTGTCCTTTTGCAGGCACCTGATGCAATGTTTGTTACTCTAAAAAGCCACCACCAACTTCTTGAAGGCAGAGGACCTGTCTTTTCATATATTCTCACCTGGAACCCAGAGAATCTAAGAGAGTATT